CTCTCCTTGTTCGCACAATTCCCACTAATGCGAAACTTGCTCTCCCAAGTAAGTCTTGATTTCGGAGTTGAGTCTGCTCCCTGTTTTTGCCCAGGGTGCTCGCTGGGGAGCAGGAGGCAAGTGTTTTCAGGGGCTGCTCCAGGTTTTGTGTTCTTTGCATCCGCTCGTTCTCAGCGGTGTGTCGCAGGAGGGCGGACAGCCTCACTCTCAGCTGCTAGCGTGAACGTGGCTGTCGTCGGTTACCAGCCACTCCGCTTTCTCCGTCAGTGTTCCAGGTGGAAGAAGGCCCATATCTCGTTCCGCCAGGGTCTCAGGTGTCCTTGGAAGTGGAGGCAGTGGCGAGAGGGAGAAACTTTCCCTGCAGGACGTGGCTGAGCTGATCCGAGCCGGAGGCTGCCCGCGGGTGCTGGTCATGGTGGGCGCCGGCATCAGCACGCCCAGCGGCATCCCGGACTTCAGGTGCCCTGCCGGCCCCACACGCCCCTGCCACCCCGGCGACTCCCCCGCCCGCTCTCTGCCGCGGGGCTCAGAGCCTCCCGCTTCTCCACAGGTCTCCGGGGAGCGGCTGGTACAGCAACCTCCAGCAGTACGACATCCCCTACCCGGAGGCCATTTTCGAGCTCCCATTTTTCTTTCACAACCCCAAGCCCTTTCTCGCTCTGGCCAAGAAGCTGTACCCTGGGCACTACAGGCCCAATGTCATCCACTACTTCCTGCGACTGCTGCACGACAAGGGGCTGCTTCTGCGGCTCTACACACAGAACATCGACGGGCTCGAGAGAGGTGAGCCGGCCTGCACGCGCCCCTCCCCGTGTGGGGGGTGTGGGCTCCATACTGCTGGGTCCCGTCTTAGTCCCTACCCTGGTGATTGGTCTTGAGCCACCTAGCCTTGCCTTTGTTCCTGACAGAAGTGTCCATTGTGTGCTTAAGGGTTACTGGTGGGACCTTGACGGTGGCCCCGTTTGCCAGCATACCCGCCAGTCTGAGTTTTGGCCAGAACTGACGTTGACTTCAGGAGCTTCTGGTTTGGCTAATCTGATATGATGACTTCTCTTAAAAGTTTTATTATGGAATTTTTGAGCCCCCGAAAGTAAAGAGACAAAGAACGTAAAGAACGTTCATTCCTCATTTCTGTCCTCCTTCCATCTTCTCTTTTTCCCCTGGATTATTTTGAAGAAAATTTCTCAAATTATAAATTTAATCTATAAATACACTTTTCGGAAACTTCTTTATATTATTTTCTTACCTTTATTTGGCATCTGTAGAATAGAAAATGTTTTCCTAGGCATTGGATGAAATTATATCTGAACTTACATAGGATGTTTTTGTGCTGTGTTTTGACAGGCCTTGTTTTAGCTGTGACCTGCCTCCACCTGGGAGCCGTCACCCCTTGGCTTATTCTGGTTGGGGGGCAGCGGTGGGCAGCATTGTAGGTGACAGAGGCAGGGATATCAGGCTTCCAGTGGGGGCTGCGATCAGAGGTGATGCTCCGGGGCTTGTGTGCCCGCCCACCCTGGAGGCAACAGGACTTAGTTCGGGTTTGAATTTCAGCGTCTGGCATCCCTGCCTCAAAGCTGGTTGAAGCTCACGGTTCCTTTGCCTCTGCTACCTGCACTGTCTGCCGAAGAACCTCCCCAGGGGAGAACTTTTGGGTGAGTTGTCACACTTCACCGTGAGAGTGGTCTGGAAAAGTGGTATCTCACAAGCATCGTGTCATAAAGGCAAGAAAACATTAGTGCCGTGAAAATGGTTTTCTTTATTTTTAAATTGGAAATGTTGTATATGCTTGCAAAAAATTACCGCAGTACAGAAATTTGGAGGGAAAAATGAATCTTCTTTCAACCAGTTCCTATAGACCACTTTTAACAGTTTGGTGTATGAGGGTTTACACCTTTAAAAAAGGTGCGCATATATAAGCACACAAACATTTGTGAACCTGCACCCACACACAGTTATTTATTTATTTATTTATTTTTAGTAACGGGATCATTAAGCTTAAAATTCTACTACTTGCTTTTTTACTAAGCAAAATTTTATGGATATTTTGTCAGTAACTACAGCTCTGCTCACTGGTTTTAGAGTGTACGTTGTAACTAAAGAGTATTACATTTAGTCATTCATGTATTGTGGGATATTTTTTGATGTTCGTCATTTTTACTATTAAAAATAATGTGGCAGCAATACCCCTGCTAGACCCCTGTGAACTTCTGTAGGATGGTTTTCTGTAGGATGGTTTCTTTAAGTAGAATAGGATTGAGTTGAAAGACGTACATAAAGATAAAACTCTCAGATATCAGTGTGGCACAGGACACTGTCCTTCATTTTTGGTGGAGGTCAAATTCACACAACACAGGGTTCGCCGTTTAAAGGTGTGCAGGTCAGTGGCATTGAGTGCATTCACGTTGCGTGACCATTTTGTCTAATTCACAAGATTAACATCACCCCAGAAGGAAGCTCTGTCCCCATGAATCGGTGAACCCCACTCCTGCCTCTCCCAGCCGCTGGCAACCACTGGTCCTTTCACTGTTCCCTTAGCTTTGCCTTTCCCGGAATGTCATAGAGTTGGAATTACACAGTATGTGGTCCTCCCAAAATTCTGAGGGCTGCATGAACAGAATCGGTAAAATGTCAATAATTGCTGAAGCTGGTTCGTTGTATATATGTGGGGTGATCATTTTACCATCTCAGCTGTGTGATGTTTGAAATTTTCTTAAAATGTTTCTGCCTTTTCCTTTGAACTGTGTTGCCGTGTCTCCCTTGGGCCCACTTTGTGTGTGTCACCCAGGCCGATGTGCTGGTGGACAGGGTCCCCCGCTGCTCCGTGTGCACCGGCATCGTTAAGCCCGACATCGTGTTCTTTGGGGAGCCGCTGCCCCAGAGGTTCTGGCTGCATGTGGTTGACTTCCCCATGGCAGACGTGCTGCTCATCCTCGGGACCTCCCTGCAGGTTCGTCAGCAGGCCTGGTGGATGGATGTGCAGGGAGGGGGCTGGGGGGGTGAGGCAGAAGTGGGGGTGCACCCTGGGGCCCTACCTGGGGAAGGTGAGTAGATTCGGCTGGTAAGGAAACAGGTATTCCCATGAGAGCAGCGAGCAGGATGGGGAAAAGGGAGGTCAGCTTTAGAGGTGCTGTAGGTGTGGGCAGGCCCGTGTGCGAGGGGCGGGCCAAGGGTAGTGGGGAGGACTGCAGAAGCAGGCCTCCCAGGCCACAGCGGCCAGCTCTGTGCTGGAAGCAGTAAAACCCTGATGGAGCTGAGCTGGGGACATAGGTGGCCGTGTGCAGGACTGAAGCCAGCAGGCGTCCCGCAGGCTGGTCCTCAGTGAGGCAGAGCTGTGGGAAGGGCTGTGTCTTGGTGCTTTGGACAGACACCGCAAGTGTCACGGGAGAGTCGCACAGTACGTGGGGTGATGGGGTGGGACCTAAAGGCCAGGAGGGCTTGGGAACCAGCTGTGTTGGCAGGTTGGTTTGCATATGTATGCCTTAGCACGAAGGTCATGCTGGAGCTGAGCTGGAGGAGGTGGCAATGTTGGGTGGGGAAGGTCTGGCAGGAGACACTGCACAGCAGGCCACGTGGCGCCGGTAAGGAGGAGGCAGTAGTGATCATGGTCTGACTTCCCTGTCCATCTGGGTGCTGTGTCGTAACAGACCATGGGGGACAAGTGTGGGAGAAGGGACAGTCAGTAGAGTGCAGGGGTGACCAAGTGGTGATGGCAGGAAGCCAGGTAAAGCCAGCAGAGGGCGGTGGAGCCAGGTGTGTGTGAAGGCATGGTTGGCGAGACTCCAGGTGGTGACCTGAGCAGCTGCAGGGATGGCCTTGTTTCCTGAGTTGGAGAAGCCCTGTGGGCAGGTTTGGGGACCTAGGTGTTGGTCACACGGGTGTGAGGATTGTGCTGGGCTGCTGAGTAGACATGTCAAGGCCAGGGAGGACCCGTGCTGGGAGGTGGGATGCCGGAGTGGACAAGCAGAAGAGCTCCAGGTGGATGGACCGGGTGCACACACTGGTCCTTGTGGGGATGGGTGTGGGAGGGGCCAGGGGAGGCCGGGGGCTGCACCTGGCCGACCTGTGCCTGCCACTGGGCATGGGCACACGGGCTACCAGTCCTCTCTGTTTTTTTAAGCGACATGAAAATAGTTTTTTTCCCCCCTTGATTATAAAAGTTCCATGTGCTTACTTTTAAAAATTTATACATTGCAGTCTACGGCCATACCACCCTGAACAAGCCCAATCCCGTCTGATCTCGGAAGCTAAGCAGGGTCGGGCCTGGTCAGTACTTGGGTGGGAGACCACCTAGGAAGACCAGGTGCTGTAGACGTAAAAAGTAAAAAATAAGAGATTGTAAGCTGACAAAGTCCCTGCAGTCTGTGAGGTCAACCAAGGGTTGCCTCGCCTAAAAAAAAAAAATTAAAAAGTATAAAATTTATACATTGTATAGAGAGCAAAGTACAGGACCCATCAGTCCCAACGGCACTGTTAGTGCTCTGTTCCGTGTCCCCTCGGGTTTCTGTCCTCTGCACACACACGTGGTGGTCTTTCACCGGACTGGGATGCCACCATGTTCACACACGTACCTTGTGAGTGGCCACGGAGTCCTGGATGGATACGGATCTGAGGTCCCTCCTGGGGCCCCAACGCCAAGTGCTCAGCTGTCAGCACAGAGCCAGCAGCAGTCAGGCTTCCGGCTGGCTCACAGGCACGCACGTGGCATGGAGGGAACGTTCATGCGCGTGTGCGGTGCCTGGTCTCCTGCACGGGGGGGTATGTGGTATGTGAGCCGTGGTGTCTTTTCTCGAGCCTGAAGTACTCTGAGCTCTGAAACACATCCAGCCCCGAGAGCTTTAAGATAAGGGACTATGATCTAGAGCATTTATTTTAGCAATTTCCATTGATGGGCACCAAAAATAAATAGTATAGTTTTTATATTAAAATGTAGTGAATACCCCACGTATGCGGTTCTGTGCGTTCGTGTCAGTACCTCATGGTAAATGTTAAGGATGCAGTTCATCCTGCCACCACCAGTCTGAGTGGCCTTCTTCCTACATGCTGAGCAATAGCAGTGTTAAATGTCTTTACCAAGCTGATTGTGAAAAGATGAACGTGTACGTGTGTATGCGTGAGATTTTGCATTTCTTTAATGAACGGTGAAGTTCATCTTTTTATGTTTATTGACCTCTATTTCTTCCTTTCAAATTGCATATCTCTTAACCACTTTTAATTGGGTTTGTTTGTAAGTTAGAATATAAATTCATAAAGTATATAAAATATTTATAGTTTATCAATTAGCAACATAAACCATTTACAGTCGCACGTTGTAACTGTTTTTGCTTTTGGTTTGTGGTGGTGAGAGTTAAAAACTATTTTTCTACAAAGTACTTTTATGCAGCTATGTTAGTATTGTAGTCAGATGCTGTTTTCCTGTTTCATCTGACTTCAGTTGTCAGGTGTAAAAAATCCTACCTTTACTTAGAAACCCTAAATTTTCTTCAAGAGCTGTTTTGTTTACACTTAAATCTTTAATCCACTTGAAATGTTTTCAGTGAAAGGCAGGAATTGAGCTGTTTCCTCCCAAGAGATGAGCCAGTCTCAACACCATTTATTAATCGTCCGTTTCTTGCATGATCACCCTTTGGATGAAGGAGCCCACAGGCAGCATTTCGGCCTCTCTGGAGGTCTGGGCAGTGAAGGCCACAGAGAGGTGGGACGACCACCCAGCCTGTAGGCTCGTCAGGAGCCCCTCACTGGTGGCCCACAGTGTGGGACCAGGTCCTTGCTCTCAGCGTGTCAGTGGTGTACTGAGGAGGCGGCGGGGAGGGGGAGGACAGGTGAGAGTGTGCGTAGCTGCTGGGATCAAGCCCAGGTGAGCCTGGTCCGGAGATTCCGCAGAAGCCAGAGGCAGGGGCGGGGGAACCAGCAACCAGGGCAGGGAGACTGGAGGACAGGACATGGGTGGTGGATTCCCCTGCTCCATGATCTGTCAGTCTGCTGTCTCAAGGCTTGGGGGCTGTGGCGTGAAGTATCCTGAGGGGTTGGAGGGTGCACGCTGAGCTCCTTACGTCTGGGCCCATTTTCCAGGTGGAACCCTTTGCCAGCTTGTCTGAGGCCGTGCGGAACTCGGTGCCCCGAGTGCTCATCAACCGGGACGTGGTAGGGCCCTTGGCGTGGTGTCCTCGCAGCAGGGACGTGGTCCAGCTGGGGGACCTGGTTCACAGCGTGGAAAAGCTGGTGGAGCTGCTGGGCTGGACAGAGGAGATGAAGGACCTTCTCCAGCGGGAGACCGGAAAAGCGGGCTGCTGAGCAGGGCCCCGTGGCGGCCGGCCCACCTGGCATGCGGCCGGTGGGCTAAGAGTGACAGTGGTAGCTGGTAACTGGCTTCCAGTGCCGGTGCAGGCATCGCCTGGGGCCCTGTGGCTCTTAGGACCTCCGTTGACGCTGAGGCCTGCTTGCAAGGGGCAGAGCAGGGGTCTGTCCTGCCAGTCTGTGCCCATCGCACCTCAGCAGTGGTCTGTTGTTCCCTGAGGTCAAGGAGCACCCGCCGCTGCGGTTGAGGGTTCGGAGACGGGCTCTGCTGTTCGTGGAGTGGCCGTGGGCCGCTGGCCCGCTGAGGGGAGAAAGAGCCAGCGAGTCTTCAAGCTTTGCACTTCAAACCTCCAATAAATGAGTGAAGTCACAAGAAATGTAATTTCTCACGAGGCTCGGCACCTGGGGAGAGGGGGTTCTCCGTAGGAGGCAGCAGGCGGCGTCCAGCGTCCGCTCTCGGAGCCTGCGCTGGCTGGGACCTGCTCTGCACAGCAGCTGGGTGGGGACCTGCAGCCCTGTGGATTTCGGGGAGCGGCCTTGTAAAGTCTGGCCTGTGCCCCTTCTCGTCTCACAGATTGTGTAAGTGCGGTTAGGACTTCAGGGCTTTAATTAGAGTTGCTGGCCGAGAGCAAACAGTGGGGCACATCTGGGCTGGCTGCCTGGCGAGGCCCCCACACAGCCGTTTTGCCAGCCCTGCTGGGTCTCCCTGGTCTGGCTGAGCAGCAGTGTTTGCCAGGAGCCAGGGAAGCTTCTGCCATAGGAAGTAGCTCGAGCCCAGGCGTCTCCACACAGCTGATCCCCTCTCCTGAGTTCTAGCTCAGTGGATAGGATGGATAGGCGATGGCCGCTCCCTGGACCAGCAATGGTGACATGGGAGTCGCCACCCATTCCTGAAGAGCAGCTAGGGCGTGTTTATAGTTCTTGGCTGAGGCAGAACACAAGACCTGAGGAAGCATGCGTGGCTGGCACTGAGCGTCTTTGCGGCTGAGCTATTTGCGCAGGGCGCCAGGTGTAAATGAGCTGCCCTTCCCTGCACTGGGGAAGCCCATGATGCAGAAGCCACCTCCTGACGGAGATGGTGAGCTCAGACACATTCACCTCGTGTCCAGCCCTCCATCTGAGACCCAGTCTCGGGCTGAGTGAGCCATCTCGTCCCAGAATGCAGCCCCAGGCCCCCGGCAGTGCGTCGGTGCTGGCATGCTGCTCCCCTTGGTAGGATTATTTTTATTAGAAGCTCATCCTTAATTTGACACAAAATTAATTTAGGAAGGCATCCCTTCATTTGTCTCCTCAAGGAATGCAAGTGCTGACAGTAAAATGTGGAAGGGGCCCCTGGGATGCACGGGCATCCCCTCGATTGGAACAATCTGCTGACAGAGGACGCTGGAGATGGGTGCTGCCGAGCCTCCGACCCCTCAGAGGGTCATCTTGTTCAGCTCACTCTCCCGATGCATTTCACATTAATCTCCCCAGGGAACACCTGTTCCAGACCCTTCCAGCAGCTTTCTAACTGTGCCCTGTCCCTAGTCTCCCCACTAGAACTTCTAGTAACCTCTACGACTCAGAAGGCATCAGGGCCTTGGAGACCTGGGCTGCCCTGCCCCCACCTCAGGCCCCTCCTACTGGGGCTGTCCTTCCTGCTCCCCATCCACCCCATGTGCCCCCTCCTCCCTGGCATTGTTTCCAGCAGCCCCTGGGCTGGAGTGAAGCGGGAACAGTCAACCGATAGCCGCCTCACACATCAAGGAGGACAGGACAGTGACGATCTACGCGTGCAATTCTGCAAAGGACGAAATCAGCTTTTACCTTTACTTAATGTGCCTTTACTTGATATTTCACACACACTTTCACACACACGCGCTTTCTTGCTTGAAACTACTCCAGGATATTTGTGATACTTTGTGAGACGTGATACAGATTTAAGGTTTCACGTGCAGCATTTTCCTTCGTGAATCTATGATCCACGCCAGTGGGAAAGACAGATTCCACCGTCACAACCGGTGAGGATGCGGGCACTGTGGACCCTACAGCAGGTGGCTGAGGCAGGACCGAGGATGCAGAATAGGCCTCCAGCTCTGTGCTCAATGGGGACAAAATCAGCGCACACCACAGAAGAATGTTTCTGACGTCAGCATGAGAAGTCACAGCAGGTTCCTCTCCCTTTGAAATGCAGCGCTTGCCCGACCTGCCAGCTCCAGGCCAGCATGCCAGCCTGCCAGCCTGCCAGCTTGCGTGCATCCACACTCAGCCCGCCTTCCCAAATGCACGCTGGCCGAGTCCCACTAAGCCGTGTCTGTAGGCGGCAGCCTCTGCGCACGTCCTCTTGGCTCTGGTTGAAGAAGCCGAGTTTCCAGTGACAGCAGCACAAGACCCGTACCATCCCAGAAATAACAAATCGGACCAGAGGCGGATCATGAACAAAACTTTGGGAGCAAAGAGAAAGAGGTCTCCAAGCCAGAGAGGAATGTGACGTCCCCAGGTCACGGCCCCAGGAACATCCTGGGAGCAGCACCGGTTCTGAAGGGGAGCGCGAGAGCGGCCGTCTTCAGTCGGGGTCTGAGGCGGGGTCCGAGGAGAGCTGCCCTTCCATGCTCTCACTCACTGCGTCTTGCAGGGTCGTCAGCTGCCCCCGAGGACTCACTCCCATGGGCTGGATGACTCTGTGCCT